ATGCATACACTGGTAATGTTGCTTTTATCAATGACCGGAGCAATTTCAAAGTAAGTTACAATATAAAAAGAAAAAACAAATTAATATCATAATTTCTTTCAGAACTTCAACACTTTACGTATAGTGGCTACATTTGGCTGGGTGTTTTTGGGTTGGGTGTATGTGTACATCGTTAGCCAACAAACCGATTTATTTTGCCGTCAAATAAATAAAACGAAGTTAATATGCACCTACATACAGTTAAAACCTACTTGCAGTGGTAAGAATATAGTTTTAAAAGAAACTTTCTTACATGTTTAGCTTGTAAATTTAAAAGAAAAAGATCCTAGAATCTATGCTCTTTGTTTTGTTTTATGGAATAAGTATGACAAATAAGCACACAGTCCACCTGATGGTAAGTGGTTGCTGCAGCCCATAGACATCTACATCTATTCACGTTTACGAATCAAAATGCAAATGCGTTGTCAGCCGTGAGTACTAAGATGGAGAGCCTCTTTTCCAGTAAAAAAGTTCTCTAGTTCTCTATACTCACCATACGAAACACAGCAGCATTAAGCTGCTATTTTACGCTGGTATTCTGTGAGAGCGTGGTCTTAACCCGGTCGATGCGACCCATTCGTGCTACAACTATACTATAAATATAGCTGCAGCATGGCTCTACAACGTATAAACGTAAATTCGATTCGATTTTGTACTAAAATTCCTATCAGACCGACCACTCTACCAAACAAATGTATGAACAGGAAACTTTTATCTCTTGTACATATAATTTTAAATTCTCTATTATTCTATATTTCAGATGAAAGTTTAAAACTAACTCGAAGTGTAATACGCACCCTTAGAGTCCGGGAACCCCGTTTATCTATATATGGCATGTTCTTCTATAACACTGGTCTCGTGCTCCGCATCGCATCATCAATTTTTATATACATTACAGTACAGCTTCAAATTATGATTCCGGTATCAGAAGAAAGTAACCCAGAACCAACTGCTCCTGCACACCGTGATATATTTTTTTTCCGTTGAAACGTTTTTCAATGTATAAATTATATATATCGAAACAAAAAACAAGTGTATGGGTCGGGATAAAATAAATTATTTGTGCACATAATTCTAAGAAGTTTTTTCATACAAATTTCCATTAAATGTAAATTTATACTGTGTATTATTTAATTCATATGTGTACTAGATTATTAATGAAAATGTCCCGTACCCCGTGCCATTGTTAACAGCCAGTTCAATTAATTTAGGCGTGGTAATTGCAATCTCACTGATATTATGATTAAAGACATTCTAGTTGACAAAAAATTACTTTACGTACATCCGCTCGATAAAATAAAATTATGTATCTTACCTAGTTTGAAGAGCACCTCCCGCCCTCCCTCAATTGCGTGCACTATCCCCGTCACCACTAATCCCAGCACCACTACTCCCAACACCACTACACTAGGAACACACACCACTGACGACAATACGACACGTGTTTCGCCTCTACACGAGGCATCCTCAGGTGATATAGACTCTACGGTGGCTAACCGCTAACACACTTCCGCGAAGTAACGCCTGATTCTATTAATTATCTTAAAGACATTCTTCAACAGCAACAAGTGAAGATAACGTCAGTGCTGAACGGCGTATGATAGAAGTTGATAAAAGAGTAAAAGCCTAACATTAGTTAAAATCACACCCTCTTATCTATTTCTGCCGCCAGATGACAGTGCTTGCACTGCTGTGTCCCCGTCGGTCTGAAGGGTGTAGAGAACCAGTACAATTAGAGGCTGTGAGGCATTCCATCCACCGTCCTCAGCGGTGGCAACGTATCTGTGGTCATCTTTGTTTGAACTTGGTTGCAAGTAGTATTATTAGGTTTATACATGGTAGAGCCATGCTCCTGCTAGTTGTAGCACGAATGGGTCGGCTCAACCTCTCTCTCTCTCTCTCTCTATCTATCTATCTATTTCTCTCTCTATTTCTCTTTCTTTATCTCTCTCTCTCTCTCTCTCTCTCTCTCTGTGTGTGTGTGTGAGTGCGTGTGTGGGGGGAGGGTGTGTGTGTGGGTGGGTGAGTGTGTGGGTGGGTGTGTGGGTGTGTGGGTGTGTGAGTGTGTGGGTGTGTGAGTGTGTGTGTGTGTGTGTGTGTGTGTGAGTGTGTGTGTGTGTGTGTGTGTGTGTGTGTGTGTGTGTGTGTGTGGGTGTGGGTGTGTGTGGGGGTGTTTGTTTGTCATATGGTGAGTGTAGAGAACCCTTTTTACTGGTCACGAGGCATTCCAACTTAGTCGCCAAGGATTACAACGCATCTGCATTTTGAATCTTAATCCAGGGTAAATGTAGATGTATATGGGCCACAGTACCCACTTTGCATCAGGTAGACTGTGTCCTCGTTTGTCATCCTTATACTGCAAAAAATGTCGCTGGACTGTACTTATCGTCACGGTCTCTTACATTCGGGTAGATTATTTATATTGAGCCGTTTTTCTGAAACCATTAACAGAGTTTGCATTAGTTACTGAGTTTCGTAAGTTTTTCAAAACATCATACATTTGTATTTGCTTCTGCATGCACACAGATGCATGCTGTTTGGAAAATCTTATGTTCTGTGGGTCAAATCTTATCCGGGATTATCTTGTAACCAGGTATATAGGGAGCCTACTGGTATCGCATATAAGGAACTCACTATAAACTCAACTTAATCAAATGTCATTGTGTTCGTTATATGTAATAAACACAATAAAATGAATTGGAATATTAAAATTCACTCTTTAAAAGGTAGCTAAAATCTATATTTAATCTAAATGTACTTATTTTTAATGACCTACCTTGCAACTGAGAACGAAAAAAAATCATATCCGTTCCCTACAAAAAACGAGGTGGTAGTGCATTTTCTCGCCTGTATGCCGGTGACTAAATGGAGCACGTTTGAACACGACTGAATGACTGACCAAACCTTATAGGTATATAGATATAAAGCCGCGTATCCACCAAAAATGTTGACAACAGTTATGTTTCCAACTGTTTCCAACAAGCGTCTCCACCGAGGGAACAAGCGTATTCCTTTGATGTTGTCGCCGAAAATGGAAACTAGTTTTGTTGGCAACAAAACTTTGTTTTTTTTTTACGTGGGGAAATCCTCATGGTTACCTTCCGCTGCGAGGGCAACGAAAAGGTTATGCCGGACTCATACCGGCTAAAACCTCACGGTGGTCACCATCAGCGTATACGAGAGGTCCTGGGATCTCCGTTCGGAACGCAACCGGGGCCCCTCCATCGCTTTGCTACGCTTATAACACGTCCCGGGGACAGGAATTGCTGCCCCCGCACCCTCGCAGTGCTATCACGATGCCTCGAGACCACTTCCGATTCATCGTCCTCCTCGGGGGTTACATTACTAGACTTCGAGGCCCCCGCCCCGAGCGTCTGCAACCCCGGAGGCCCCGTTTCTGGTAGGGGAACACCGTTTTCTAGAGGAGGGCCGTGACGAACGCCTTGGCGACGTCGTCTTCGCGCGGAATCCGCCCTCTCCCGATCCCGCTCAGAAGCCTTCTGAATCATAACAGATTCACAGAAGGTGGCCACGACCCTCCACGCCGAATCCCCGCTCAGCATCGCTGACACGACTGCTGGCAGGGAGAGGTTCCGTCCAATGCGGTTCACCAGAATTGTCCGCTCCCGTTCCCACGAGCGTATGGGAGGCTTTAGGCACCTTAACCTTATACCTACTATTCATTATTTTTGCAATTTATAGGTATATTTGATGTGTGTATGAGTTTTCATTTCTCTATACAATTTATTAGGTACATTGCTGCTGCTATTTATACGAAATTAAGATTAAAATATGTTACGGCTAAAAGTCTTAGTGCGATTACACCTAGGTTTAGCCAAGTAACTAAATAGTTGGTTAAAATTGAGTAGTATCAAATTAGTCAAAAATAAAAAGAAACACGTATCAAGTAATATCAGTACGTAACGACAGTAGGTTAAGGTGTGGTGTGCAAGCCGCGGACACACGACCAGTCATGTCTTACGACGACCAGTAATGTCTTACGCGGGCCCTATATTATTTGCTCACGCTGACCCCAAAATCATTAATGAACTCCAAATAGTTCAAAACCTCTTCTGTCGTCGAGCTACGAACGCACCCTGGTACGTCCGTAACGCCAACCTCCATCGGGACTTAGAGCTCCCTACAATTCAACAAAAATACTCTCTGAGAACTTCTTCAAAGCCTCAGAGTCTCACTCCAATCATTTCATTCGTGAAGCAGCTACTTATGCAGCCCCACTCCCCTCTCGCTATCGAGTCCGCAAGCCGAGAAACTCTCTCTCGGACCCGCCAAACAAACTTTCAACCGACCTCAGCGGCTCGTAGCCGCCTGCGCCCCCTTTTCCCAAAAGCGGGTCGCTTCCGATTCGGCAGAAAGGCCTCAAAAGCCAATGCCAGTCTCACAGGTGGTGTTTAGTGGGTATACTTAGGGTGGTTAGGTTAGGTTAGTCACAGTGAGTTCCACATAACCACGACAGCCGGCTTTCGTGGTATGATAAAGCATTCACCACCTCCTCGCGTTAACGGGGTAGCCCTTTTCAATTGCTTCTGGGCGCAAAAAAAACTGCGGACATTTATCAAATTTATAAATTATGTAGGATACATCTAGGTTTAACCAACCGCACTGCATCTAGTAGTAGCCGGCTAAACCTAGGTGTACCGTACTTTGGCTTTCAGTCGTAACATTACATAACGTAGCAGATGGTATTGATGAATCGAATATTGTACAATAATTTTCTGTGATACGAAATATGCGAGAGATTGTCAATCCTCTAGAGCAGAGATCACCAATCAGTTTCATTGCGGGTCCGTATAAAAAAATCTATATCTGTCGCGGTCCGTTTGCTAGATGATGACTAGAGCCGCGATTTGAAATGTCAATTAACAAATGAAACGAAGATAAATCATAATATGTTTTATTAAGGATATATCTAATTAAAAAATAAAGTATAGTACCCAATATTAAGGCGAAAAATGGCATTTTTTAGTTTGAACTATCTGTCTGAAGTCCGGAATTAAGTTGGTGCAAGCTATCGACATTAAATCCTGGAGATGGTCATTGGTAAGACGAGATCGTTTTTTAGTTTTGACTAGCTGTTTCCCGCGACTTCGTCTGCGTGGAATTTATTACTGTTGGATTTCATGGGTTTTGATTTTTTTGCGGAACCCTAATTGTTATTCTAAAATAAAAGTAGCCTAAGTTAGTCCTTATAACATCTGCTATCTGCCAGTGGAAATCTCGTCAAAATCGGTCCAGTTATTTCGAAGATTAGACGAAACAAACAGACAGACAGGCCGACAGACAGACAAAAATTTTAAAAATTGTTTTTTGTTAAAAGTATCGTATATACTTTCATATGTATTTAGTTAAAAGCTATTATTTTGACATTACAAACGGACAATCCAATTTTCTTTATTTGTATAGATAATATACAAATACATAGATGAAGTTCATCTTAGAAAACACTGCTTCACAAACATATGTTGATCCAAACATTGTACAAAGTTTCAAAGGCAATTTTTTTAATTTTGGGTATTTATCACCACACAATAATTTTATCCAAAACTCTTGGCAAAGAACTTCTGAATTTTTGTGTTTTAAATCTATTTCTTTCATAAACTGAAGTGAAGTGACATATGGACTTACTGATGGTGGTAAGTGCCTACTTCAGCCTATGTACACCTGGAGCCAACCCCAAACAAAGAAGACTACAGCTGCGTTGTCACTTTTATTCTTTTCCTTCTTCATCATCGACCCGTAAAAGTCCGCTGCTGTTCATGATTCAGTCTTCAGTTCAGGTTCAGAAACAGTCTTATAGTGAGTTCGTGAGGTTCTACTTATTCCATAACTTGCTGAAATATTTTCTGGTAGACCAATAAAAGAAAATATTTTTAAAATGCAAACTTAGTGCATACGTTGCTAGTAATAATGAATAAATAATATACAAAATGTTACGTAAATTATATTAAATAACAATATAAATAAAAATAGTGAATACGATAATTAAATATATAAACTAATATAATACAATAAAATATATAAATAACAAGATTCTTTTTTGTTCTTGGGAGAATTAGTTTCGATTGTTAGTCCAAGAGTAATCCAAGATCCCAGGGCCACCAGACGTCACTTATTTTCTGACGAACGAAACGAGTAAGATTGAGTAGTGTTAGTATGTACTATGATCGCATGCCTACCTGCTAGCTTGGACAGAGGGCCATTTTTCAGGTATCAGATAATCAACATACGTAAAAACATTGCTCACCTCACCCTAATTCTCCTAGGTGATTTTTACGTATATGTTTTAGATAATATCGTTAAAAGTCAGTCATCAATACTCCCAGACACTTTCCGTCGGCAGTAACTATCGCTTTGCAGACGCTTTAAAGCCCTCAAAAAATTACTCAATTTCACTTATATCCAGAAGCTCCATTTTATATATTTCAGCCAGACAACTATTACAAAACGTTTTACAAGAAGGCAGACACATCGTGACTCACGCTCATGAGCGCGGATAATGCCCTCGCGCTCATACCCACAGAGGCATTAAAATTGGGTCTAGGGGATAATATAAGTGACGTCTGGGGGCCCCGGGATCTCTATTACGCTTCGCATGGGGATTGACAATCTCAACACTAGACACTAGATTTTAAACAGTCCTTGTAGTTTTATAGAAATGTAATATGAAGAGAATTCGATTATAAGCGATTTCATAATAAAAAAATATCATAGTCCACGTGAGCACCTCATATTTTGCTGAGTACAATTCGCTATCTGTAATTGTTACTCTAGAACATGGCGTCACCAAATGGCGCACCGCGGTCCGGATCCGGACCGCCAACCTATTTTGTGCCGACCCAGAAGAATCTATGTAAGAATTTGTGGTAATTCACTACACGGCAAAGAAATTCTTGTTCTCTCCTTATCATTTAATTTTTAATGCAAGAAACCTTAGGTATTTATAAATTGTAATTGTTACCTTCATCCTTACTTACTTCTTCATATTTTCTTAGTGCATATCTACATTACTTAGTTTTATTTTAAATATAATATTGAACGGACACTCCCGCTTTAGTGTTTAAGTAATCCGTAGAGTTGTTTTAAAAATATAACAAATATTCAAAAGAAATACATAACTAACAAAGTTTCTATGCGAACGAAGTCGCGATCACAACTAGTTTCAAATAAAATGAAATACATACAATCAAACTATCCGACAAATGTACATTTTTTAAGTCCACAATCTGAGAACATGTGCGTGATGAAATCATTTTTCCTAATTTTCAATTTCATCCATTAATGGATGGATGAAATTGAAAATTATCAAACTAAGTCCACGGCTGAACATAAGCCTCCCCCACAGATTGCTCATTGCATCCCTCATCTTTTTTTGAGATCTTCTCAGTAAGTGCTGCTACCCATCTTCGGTTTGAGTTTCTTTCTGTCGCCTCTTACAGTACCCACGGATCGATATGAGGTAGGGTATATTCTTACACCGCCACCACCTCCACAATTAGGAGGACGGAGCGTAGACTTCATTGACGTGATCTCTTCAACTGAAAGATTCAATGTGCCTCTTACTACTCTGTGCTCGTTACCAGTCTTCACGGTCGCGATCCAGTGATCATGGGATGACTCTGTAGTCATCAATTAACTGTTGCCATCTGATCATATTAATGAAGTCAATCTAATTTTTGTCAAACCGTTGGGGTTTGACTAGGACAACTATCGGTGGGATCCCTCTGTCTGCATTAACTCGGCCAGCTGTTGATTTTGACCCCTATGTTTCCTGAATTTCCCTACCTTCAACTCACCGTTCTCTCTTTTACCTAGTTTCTTCTGCCATCAATACTGTATACTGTAATACGCTAAGCGTAACGTAATGCGCAGAAGATACATTACCACTTACAACACACCCCACTTTACATATTGGGTCACGCGCCAATAAATTTTCCTATTTCCAATCATTACAGAAATATTTTAAATTTGATAATTATAAGGAGTGACCTGGATGTATATTACTTACATATTTAAATATCTTTCGATCAAACACTTAAAACTTTTATCGTTAGGGAATTTATGTACTGCATAAATGACGGAGGTGGGTCATGTAAGTAATATTTTTAATACAAAAGAGGCAAACGGGCATGCGGCATCTGATCGTAAGTGTTCACCGCCACCTCTGAACCATTGCAACACCAGGTGATTATTGGTATGTTGCCAGCCATTTTAAAAAGGAATAAGCTCGTTTCAAGACGGTGCTTAGCCATATCGGACCGGAAAATTGCCGGTAGTTAACGATTCCACAAAGACGTTATGCGAGGAAGAAAACTTATAAGCCGAACCAGATATTACGGATGATATCGTGTGATTTGTTGCGATGTGCTTTTTTAGAAAGTTTAGCGGCTAAAATGATGAATAAAGTGAAATTATACTACTTTTTAAGAGGGCTGGTGTTTGCGTCCCGGGATGTCGATACATCAGCCCTGACCTAGTAGCACTCCTGCTTATAGCGTAATATTGTTTTATAGGAGCAACCAAACCATTGTTGAGAACTTCCTCCGATGGTTACCACAAATTATGGAATAAGAAAAGCCATTGCAAAAGTGAAAACCACTGTTACAATCTTTCTCTTTATACCCCAGTACATTCATCCTTCCTTTTCAATATATGAATTTATGTTACAGTTGTACGCTTTTAGAACTCCTAGCCTCTAGATATTCGCCGTGTGCATTCCCTTTTTTCCTAGTCTTCCCATCCTTTCTTGTATCTATCCTACTTTTTTCAACTGTCACCATCTTGTGTTTTTATTTTTCTTTATATACACTTCCCGCCCAGTCATTCGTTGTGCAGATTTCTTTACGTAATAAGGTTGTCTCTCAAAAATCGCTTCCAGAGCAATAAAACGGCCTAGTGTACCTTCTTTATTTATTTCCTTTTGTTTCCGTTTTAATATAGTGAAGTACTAGGACAGGCCAGATGCACGAATTACACAGCGCTCGGTTCGTAAAACACTCCTCTCCGTGATGTCAGCAAATCGAGTGGGCCTGATGGAATCTCTCCCATTGTGCTGAGGACGTATGCTCTGGAGCTGGCACCGGTTTTAACGCGTCTTTTCCGATACTCGTACTCACAAGGCGTAGTCCCGAATTCATAGAAGACAGCTATGGTCAACCTTATCCCTAAAAAAGGCGACCGCTCAGAACCGTCCAACTACAAGCCTATCGCCATCACCTCCTTGTTCTCCAAAATAATGGAGTCCATTGTAAACTGCCAGCTTGTGAGGTACCTTGAAGATCACTAGCTGATTAGTGACCGCCAATACGGTTTTCGTTGCTGGTGATCTTCTGACCTACCTGACTCATAGATGGGCGGAGGCAGTAGAGTCCGAGGGAGAGGCATTGGCCGTTAATTTTGATATAGAGAAGGCCTTCGATCGGGTCGGCACAAAGCGCTTCTTTCGAAATTTTTTCTTTGCTTTCTATTCTTTCGTCTTCCTATGGGCTTCCCGAGAAATTTTGCAATTGGATTTGCTGATTGGAGCATCAAGGTCGTAGTAGATGGTGCGTGCTCTGACTACAAGACTATTGATGCTGGTGTACCACAAGGCTGAGTGGTATCACCAACGCTTTTTCTTCTGCATATCAATGATACGTTGCAAACTGGTAACAGTCATTGCTATGCAGACGACAGCACTGGTGATTTTTCGGGAAAACGTCGCCGAATGAATACCTAAATTTCTAGTCCAGTTCAATCCCCAGAAGACACAAGTTTGAGCGTTTACCGCTAAAAAAACCCTTTGTCCCTATGTCCTCATTTTCAAGGCACTCCTCTTGCTGCTTCAGTTAGCATCGGAATCCTCGGCATCGACATATCGAATAGTGTGCAGTTTCGTGTTTACATGGAAGAGAAGGCCAAATTGGCCTGTAAAAAGTTTGGCGTGCTCAGCAGAGTAAGGCAGTATTTCAAGCCGGCACATCGCTTGAAACTTTACAAAGCGCAAGTTCGGCCTCATTTGAAATACTATTCTCATTCATTATGGACGGTAAGGACAGCTTTGGCCGGCTGCGGGAGTTTATGCATGTATGGCACGCGCCAACAATGGCAATGGAAAAGCTAGAAAGGATACAAGACCTTCTCGGAACCGAAGGCGTGGAGTGTTCGTCCGTCGGGAAAGAGCTCAAAGCAAGTACCGCGTGCATCTCTCGAGGTTCGGCCCATATAACCGCGAGGTTGGTGGGGACATGGGAAGGTGGAGGGTTGTTCTCATTCATCTCTAGGCTGGGGCATCCCAGTGCCAGCTGCTTCCATTTGACCGTATCCAGCGCAGAGTGGTTCGAATCGTCGACGACCGAGTTCTTTCTGATCGGCTCGATTCACTGGCACTACGTAGGGATGTTGCATCTTTTTGCATTTTCTATCGCATCAATCACGGGGAGTGTTTTGAAAAATTGTTCGGATTAATATCAGCCACCAAATTTCAAGAACGCACATCGCGTCAAAATTCGGGAAACCAACCTCACCATCTAGATGCTTGGCGGTCCACCACTGCGCGTTTTACTAGGAGTTTTCTTCCTCATACAACTTCTCTGTGGAATTGTTTACCACCAGCGATTTTTCAAGACCGATACAACTTAGGGACCTTTAAAAAAAGAGCTTACTCCTTTCTAAAAGGCTGGTAACGCACCTGCAATTCCCCTGGTATTGCGGTTGTTCATAGACGGCTGTAGTCACTTACCATCAGATTT